GACATTAATGTAGTGTCCTTACATTAAAACAGCAGCTTAGCTTTTAGGCAAAGATCAATTCGCCACAAAACTGATAACAATAACTACAAAAGTAGTGTAAGTAATAAAACTACATGGGCAACAGTAGTGATGACCCCGAAAGGGAAGTGTGAGCTTGGTAGCTGCTATCTATTTAAACTATTTATTTTATTTTATTTTATTTTGTCAAGCGATTATAAGATAACAAGTATAAGTATAAACATAGTTATGAATACATGAAATGGATACATATAAGAAAAATAAAAAGAAACAATAGGACAGGGACAGTAGGCACGTTGGTGCGCTTATGCACACCCCCTACAGACCTCTTAGGAAGGGGGTGAGGTCAATAGTAGACAGTCTAAGGTTAAAGTTTTTGGGGTTTGGGAAAGAAACCACAGAGTCAGGTAGAGTATTCCAGACATTGACCACTCTGTTGCTGAAGTTGTATTTCCTGCAATCAAGTTTGGTGTGGTTTACCTTGAGTTTGTATCTATTGTGTGCTCTTGTATTGTTATGTTTGAAGCTGAAGTATTCATTGACAGGTAGGACATTGCAATATATAACTTTATGTACTATACCTAGATCAGACCAAAGAATTTAAATCCTACTTGTCTAATTAAAACCCCTGAATGTAGAAAGCATTGATACCATATTTATCAAGGAGGAAGATGACTCTGAATTTAAAACATCCCACAAAAGGAAGAGATATAGAGAGATATAGCTCAGGAGAAATTTTCTTTTTTTTGTATTATTGAGAATGAGATAAATGGTTAATTGGAAAAGAATGGACAAAAGATACAAGTATATTGATTTAAAGTAAGATGAAATATATAAAATAGAATTAAGAAGATTGAAAAGCGGAGAGGAGTTATATAGAAGATATAGAATGGTAAATAAGATAGGTAATGGTATATAAGATGAGCATGAATTTAATTGAAGTCCATACAAAGAGAGGTAATCTGGGGCCAAGCCACTTTCTAAAAAGAAGTTTTATGTTTTTGTGTTTTGTGTGTTTATGTTTGACTGAGAATTAATAAAACCTTGGAGGAATGTCAGATGAGAATAATTGTAAACAAGTCAGAGGGAAATATAAATATGATGACTATATAACAGAAAAATATAGAAAAGAAATGTAATTGAATAAGAGTAAAGAGAAATAATGAGAAATTTGTTAAAAGATATTTATGTGTCCATATGGAAATGGGGTAAATTAGAATTATGCGGTATAAAATAATGTTTTATCTGCCTTGTAAAGATTTACAATGGAAAGAGGTTTTATGTTTTTAATGTTTAATGATGTTTTGTTTGTCTTTAAAATTAATAAAATTTGTTTTTTTAAAAAAAGGAAGAGATATAGAATGAGATCTAGCACGCTGGATACTAAAAAAATCCTATGTAAAGGCCACCTTGGTAAAAAGCAATCCTGGACTTCTTCGCTTCCAGTATATATTTGTGAATAAAACACTTGTGTGCATGAAATATGTTTCTATGTGTATGGACAAGCATTCATAGATACCCGGCATATCCCGCCTAAAAAAGGCCCAGCCAAGAAAAATGATCAGACTCAACTGATCCTCACCTATCTCTACAGCCATTCTCTTTGACATTCAAATCACGATTATCCACAGAAACATGGAAGTATGCCTACTTACATGCACAATTTCTCACCTCCTTTCCAGCAGAAACAGCAGAAGACAAAAAAAATTGGGGTTAAGAAAGGGATGGAGTGAGGGAAAGGATAGATACAGAGTCAGGGGAGAATCACTATGAGTCATGTGGCATACAACTTTATTTAATAGGAAGGGAGGGAGGGAGAAAGAGAGAGAGAAAGAGAGAGGGAGGGAGGAAGTAGAGGAAACATTGGATGCAGATAAGAAGATGGGAGAAGTTAACTGGGCATGAAAGGGAACTATAAAAACAGAATTAAAATTCACCAGGCAAGCAACTAACTGGCATGCTGCTTTAAGGCAACTGTTGATTTTATTTGTAAGTCTTGCTCATTCCTTTGCTTTCAGTAGCTATTTTTACTCTTAGACACCCACTCCCTCCCAGTTTGCGGAGAATTATGTAGACAAAAATACTTCTCTAGGATCCTACTGTGGTTGTAAAAATATGTTAACTAGAAATTCAGTTTTAATGGTTTGAAGCATGGATCACTGAACAGATGTCGGTGTTGGAGACCATCAAGACTAGGATCTCTAAGGAAACTCCATAGCAGAGACCCATCACATTTTTTGTAATGTTTAAGAGAGGCTTGACAAAAACAGAGATATGTGTATTACAGAGGAAGATAATCTCAGTAGCTCAGGGTTGAACTGTGGAATACTCTGAGCTTTTTTGTTTGTTTGCGGACATTTCAGTACCCAACCAGGTAACATCATCAGAGGTAGGGAGTATGGGATTTGCTTCCTGTATATATACAGTAACTTGCCCTGCAAGAGTTGGTGGGGGTGAGATTTTCTTCTTTGTAGTTTCTTGATTAGGATATTACCTTCCGCTTGGTTGTTTATCTGATGTTAATCCCTGTTTATTTGGAGGCCTCTTATTTGGGTGTCTATTGATGAATAGACTCATAGTCACATAGAATAGACACATTTACACACCATTCAAATGAGACAAAGATAATAAAAAACTAAGGAGGAAACAAAACCTTCAACGATCTTCTCCTGTAACCCGATATCTGCAAGCAAATAACCAAACTTAGGGCTCCAAGGAATCCGCATTTATTAATATATTAAAAAGAGATGGTGATAGAGAAAAGGAAGGGAGGGAAGCATTTGTTCTGGTTTTACTACTGTAAAATGTTGTCTTTTAGCTACTTACTAGTTTTGTGTATCAGTTTCTTTCAGCCACATACTAGTTTTCAGGAGCGCAAGACATTTATTAAGAGCAGTGGGCAGACACAAAATTGCTTTCACCTTGAAAATAGAATTCTGCCAGAAGCTAAATTGCAAGAAATACAAGCTAAAAGAGAACATATTTGTCCTAATGGAACGGTTCCTAAAACTAATGCTCTAGTACTGTTCCCTTCCGAAGCTACAAATAAAAAAGTTAGCATTTCCTCTAGTGCTGTATCTGGTTTGAGAAGTCTAGTTGTTGCTCTCTAGTTTTTTGCAACTTAAACCTCCTTTCCCCCAAGAAACCAAATGTCAAGAGAAATGAATTCTTAACTGCAAATAAAACACAGAATTTTGTCGTGGTTTTATTTTTGAGAATTATAATTATAAAAATTTGATTTGCAGATCAGCTCCTGCTGGCCATAAAAAATAATTTTCAGATTGAATTCCGGTAATACTGGAAGTGATGAAACAGGCCCATTTTTCAGCCTCCAAAGACTGCAGAGGCTTCCCTTGAGTCTCCGGGAGGGCAAAAACGACCACCCCCAGGCTCCAGAGGCCCTCCGGAGGCTGAAAACAGGCACTGAAAATGGTATTTCCAGAAGGCCCGTTTTTTGGCCTCCTGAGGCTAGAGAGGCTTCCCTCAAACAGGCCAAAAATCAGCTGGGAGGCACGCACATGTGCAGTGCAGGGGACTTGCATAACCACACAAATGGCTCTGTGTGCCATCTGTGGCACACACGTCATAGGTTCGCCATCACGGACTTATCAGACGGTACTGAACAGAGAAGAATTGCCTTTTAGATTGGCAGATGTGCAGTAAATAAAAACTTATCATGGAGTTCTGTCTAAAATGAAAAAAATTGTGATGGAAAAGGAATACAGAGGTAATAATTTGGGTAGAAAGGGCATGTATAGGCTGATTGTTACTTTGGGAAATGTAGAATCACAAAACCACAACAATGTAAAATGAAATTCCCTGACATGGATTTTTACCATTTAATGTAAAATTAGGAGAACCATGTTGCTAACAAAAATAGATTCAGATCAGATCTCCTGGAGTGGGGAAAATATAGTTCTCCCTAAAAAAAATATGTGATAAGAGAAGGATACATACTTTTTAATTATCTGTGCTGAAGAGTATAATTTGAAGGAAGAGGAGAAAGAAAGTATAGGTGCAACAGAACATTCACTGGTGTTGTTTATTACAAGAAAGAGTGTCATTGGTCTTCATAGCCATCTCTGGGTCTTTATTAGGAGACAAACAGCCAAATTTGGCAGAGAGCACAGTAAATAATTCTCTTTCTGGGAAGCAAGAGGTATAGTGGAGGAAAAAACCCAACAACCCTACTATGGAGTAGAAGTCGTTTTAGAAGAAAAGCCAGGGGAAAACAGAACAAAGATGGGGGAGTTCATCCATGAACCTAATACTAATAGTTGAACTGCTGAAGAAACTGTGAGGGATGGCATTTATAGGAAAACAAGTGGGTGGCAAGGAAACAGTGATGAAGTTCAGGGAAAGAGAAATGCCACAGATAGCTCTTCGATGACAACCCTCCCCAAGGGACATTTACAAACAATCACAAGAGTACAATTAAACAAATCTTTAAATAATTTATTTCGGCTGTTGGATCCCTTCATTGTCTTCCCATTCTATATTAACAAGAAGGCTTTTTTTTTTTAAAGGGAGAATGACATAAAGAACAAATTATTATATTGGCAATGTGCAAATTTCCAACATTAACATTTTTTGAAATAACATAAATATTTAAATACGCCTTCACATTTTACAAAGCTCACAAAATCATACACAGAAATTTGAACAGCAAAGGACTGTGACACTAGCAGTGCTTCTCATAATGGAGATTACATACACACGCAAAATGCAAGCAGTTGGCGTACATGCTTCCTTCCCTCCCTCCCTCCCTCCCCCATAATTTTCAGAGAAAGAAAACAAGAGATGGACGAGGGCCCTGGGAAAAATGGAAGATTTAAATAGCAGAGCTCCAAATATTTTCTTGTTTGATGATTACTCAGAACAATATGCAGTTATGGCAGATAAATGGGCCAAGATTGCAAACTTACACTGTGGAAATAAGTAGGATTTCACAGGAGCAGCCACCTTACAAACAACACAGAACCTTTTCCACCCCTTCACTATTAGAGATATCAGCAGTCAGATACAACTGAGGATTGTAGGGATGTGGGAATGTGGGGGAAAAAAAACAAAAGAAAAAACGAGCCTATCTCCTTTGGGATCCTCATAGCCCAGAAGTTAAGACTTAAGTGTAAGGACAGAGACCCACAGAAGATCCCCCTTTATTCCTTAGTAAATTCCTAAAGGATTCTTAACAGTTCAGCAAACCTTTGATTAAGTAGTAGAGGCCAGACATGAAGAGAAAGCAGATTTGTTATGTCATTTACAATACAGGAAGACTGTATTGTAAAAAAAAAAAGACCGTTGGTCTTTTTTTCTCAATAAACACAGAGTAGGTTCTTTCTGATCTGTCAGTATGCTTCCCTGTCAACCAATACACATGAATATTTAGGAACCTTTATTTTTCTCATGATCTCCCTCCCCCACTTTCCCTTCTCAAATGTTACACTTAAAAACACCTATGTTCTTTCATATTCTAAATTACAAAAGGTTTACCAACTACACCCTCATTCAAACCACACAGTGTAGTCAATGGAAAAACATCAGTCAGCTGTTCCAAGGACAAATTTTATGGGTTTATAGCTGCTCTACGTGCATAAAACTTTCATTTAGAAACACTGCCAAAAAGGAAAAAAAACCATACATAAAACAAACGTAGCTGCAGCCAACAACTTAAAAAAAGGACAAGCAAGCAAAAACGTTAAAAAGTTCTCCCACAACTTCCTTATATTTTGTTCAATTTTAGCTCTACCGTATCAGCATTTTCAGAGCAAACATACACATAATTTGGATGACTGTTGTAGAAAAGTGTTCATTTCAAAATTTTGGCTGATTTCATTATACACAGAATGCTCACAATTTAGACAGAATGCAAGAGATATATTAGCAGAAAAGCATGCAAAGAGCAGCATTATCTATTTTTCTCATACAAGTACATGTTCAATACCAAACATAATCCAAAATATTTTGGAGAAAAGAGGTTTTGTAGTCAAGTATAAAATGTCTTGTCATTCACCACCCGTGCTGGAAGCAACCTCTTTTTCTCCTCCCAGGATTAACGTTCTGGATCTGTGTAGTTCTGCATATACATATACATACATACATGTGTGTTATCTACATATGAACAAAAGAAATCAGCTTATTGTTTTCCTTCCAAAGTCACTTTTTTCACAAGACTGAAGAAGATCAAGTGGATAGCAAGACAATTAAGTGTTTTGAACATAGCACCATTCATTTTTTTTTCTTTTTCTTTTGCAAGGTAAAAAAAGAAAAAGGCATTTGCTATCCATATATTTGTTTGAACTGATAGCACTCGTTGCAATAGCCATTGCACTTGTTATTACCATAGTGATCACAGGCAGGGGCTCGGCAGCGCTGTTTGGGAAGTTCATCGGCTGAAGGTTCAACCTGAGGTGTTCCAGACAGTCTCCGTTGGCTGACACGCAAGCACTCTTGACATACTTCTGCACTCCGGGAAGCTAAATTATTTCTACATGAAGCTTTAGCACATTTGCGTTTTTGAGACTGTGCACTTTTCTGGTGTAAATCTTGATGTTGTCCCATTTGCTGAAAACATTAAAAGCATCTTTTAAATGGAAAGCAGTTAAAGGACTCTCCTTCAATAAACTTGCTGCTTTTACACTAGACTTTATCCACTACCATGAATATAAGAGTACTTAACAAAATTTATGTAGAAGCTGAATGTTTTTTAATCATTCATTCTTTAAAAAAGAAAGAAACACACTTGATTTCCTTGAAAACTGTTAACAACTACAACGTGGAGAATGAGTGAACAACAGCCTGCACGTGAAACAGATTAACTTGACATATGGCTAATGTAAAACATGAATTTCCTAGCTGTGGTAAACACCAGCTTCCTTCTCCTCCCATTACAAACAACTACTTCCTTACCCATGTAATTATGATATAATCCCCATCAATCTACTGACTGCTGGGATGTTATAATGTTAAAATGGCCCATTATGGAAAGAAACCTCTATCAAGCAATATTTTTTGCTAATAAACAAAAGCAGAAAGCTTTCTTCCTCCTTTGCAAGAAGTGGGCAAACATTAATCATATTACACCATCTTCCAGAATCCTATACAATAAAAACATACATTCAGTAGAAGGCAATATTTTGCTGATTCTTTCATGGAAAGAATCATAGATCAGGGGTGTCAAACTTGATTTCTTTGAGGGCCGCATCAGGATTGTGTTTGACATCAGGGGGCCAGGGTGGGCGTGGCCAGCTCAATGTCACTCATGTCAGGGGTGCCTGTGGTGGCCGGCGTGCTCTGCCAGTGAAAATGGGCTCCCGACCTCTGTTTTCAGCTGTGACAGCCTCCTGCAAACATCTGCAAGTGAAAACGGAGGGCTGCCTGCGGCCCTCACGAGCTCCATTTTAGTCTGTAACAGCCTTCTGCAACCCTTTGCCAGTGAAAACGGAGCTCAGGCCTTCCTGAGCTCCATTTTCGCTGGCAGAGGCACCACGGGCCAGCCTTTGCTGTTACCAGAGCGGCCCTGTGGGCCAGATCTAAGCACCCCATGGGCCAAATCCAGCCTTGAGTTTGACACCCCTGATATAGATTGTCTGAGAAGATAGGTGTAAGATTACATTGGGAAGAATGAGTTACATTTGCATGCTGACCTCTGATTGTCTCACTATTTTGTCTTCAGTTCTTCTGGCTTCATGAAGACGCTTGCTCTGTGCTTCAATAAAACATTTCTGGCAGTATCCCTCAAGCATGGTGCTCCCTATTGTGCCACATTCTCGGCCCGGGCAGGAAACGGCATTCTGATAGACAGCAGCTGAGATTCCAGGATACTCCAAAACAGGAGAACTCATAGGAGACCTTCGCTGATGAAGCAGGGGAGCCTCTATAATAACAGGAGCACAGGAGAAAAACAATCACTCTAATGTAAACTCTGAGGACAGAATGATAAAAGGGCCAAGTTATCTGTTTATCTCCCTCATTATACAATTGTGGTATGTATTCAGAAGAGAAGCTGAGACATATAATTTAGGAAGGGTATTTTTAAAAACTCCCTGAGCCTTTTTCAGAAGCTGGTGACATTTTTAAGAAGCTGGTGACATTTTCTTCTGGCAATGAGGTACATGAGGAAAGACAGATATCAACTTTCTACTTTTACTATACTGTAAAATATTCTACTATTTATACCTACTAAACTTACACTTGTTATGAATTTCAATTCCAGATGATTTTCCAAATCAGAAAATTATGTGAAAATATAAAGTTCCCCGGTACCAAAAATAAACAGATGTAGTTAGGGTTCTTCTGTGTATCTCAGCAAAATATGAAAACAGCTCTCCAATTATCATTTATGATAAATGACTAATGCACGCTGAGCAAATTCTACTGTAGCTGCATGTGCACCATACAATACCTCAAAGGCTTCAGAGCTATGTAATACACTTGATCTTAGTCGAAAGGCTATTTTGTTAAACTCCATTTGCATTTATCTGATGTTCTCTTGCAAATTCAAAATTTAGTCCCTCCCAACTCATTAAGGAAGAGGAAGATAAAAATAAAATGATATTCTCTTACTTGCCTCTATTTTCTTGATACTCAAAGTAACACAGGGTACAAAAGCCTTCATTCTGGAGAGTCCCAAAAAAATTACAGCCAGGCTTCCTGCATTTACTGTTTCTCATCCTTGGTTCTGTTCTTTGGGACGGTGGCGCTTCCACCTTATTGGTGTTGGTTACGGTATGACAGGCATGTTGCAAAAAACTTTGTGATATAGGAATAGGATCAGAACTGGACCTCTGATGGGTTGAAGGCATAGTGATGGAGCCGGCGTTTGAGGAATGGTCTCTAGTCCGTTTGAAGCAAGTGCTACACATCCCATTGAAGGTTCTGTTGGTGTCCTTGAGGCAGGATGTGCAAGTCATACAATATGAATGCTGTGGGTCACTTGGGATATTGCAAGGATTGACCACTGCACAGTTGTAGCAGCGTTCGCAAAGCCCATTATACTGCACATTCAGTGTAAAAGGACAGTCTGGGGTCCTGCATTTCATAGCAGTTGTTTCACTGTAGAGAAAAAGACTTGGAGCTGTGGGAGGCGCAGAACGAGGTTCTGTGCTGGAATTTTCAGAAGTCCGGGCAGGAGGATTGTGGCATTCATCCTTTGGGTAACTGGACCTATTTACTCGGGGCTTCTCTGAGCCTGACCAGAAGTGCTGCCTCTTTACCAAATTTGCCTTTTGTCTCTGTTCAGAGCACTCATGGCAGAATGGCTGGGTATTCACGGACATGTAGAAAGGGCAGTTGGGTGTTTCACATTTTGCCTCCATAAGCGATAGCTGGGATAACTGCAACTCCAGTCTGTTCCTCACACCCGTTTCCTTCCCAATAATTTCACTGTTTTCTTTCCACCTCTTGTATTCATGTTGCACAAGCTGAAAGTAATCTTCCACCAGATTAATCTCTTTGGGCAAGTTACCTTCATCCAACCTTGAAAAAAGCAAAGGAACAAGGAATTAATATCACTGGAGGGAGAAAAGGCAATGCTCTTACACAAGCTGGGAGGGAAGCTGGGAGAATTGTGATTTATATAATCATTATAGCATTACAGCTGAAAACCTACACTATTAATGTTATGGAAGGAAGTGGAATTTTTTAAAAAAGATGAAATTACAGGGAAGAGTTTCACTTGCAGAAAGAGTTGATAATGACATTTAATGCCTCTTTTAAGCATGTTAAGAACATTCCTTCCTAATTACATCATGGACCAAGTTGTAAGGTCCAGATGGCTTATGGGCCTTTATTTCTCATTCCAATTAGATTTCTTCCCTATATTACAATAAAAGAGAATAGTTTGAAGCCTAGCTTAGCTGGAGTACCAACTATGCCCACTTTTTCTGGTTCAAGATACCTTTGTTATGCTTTGTTTATTTCCACAGAAATATTCAGCCTTGATTTCTGCAATGCTTTGTACAATACAATTGTAATAATATATGCCTGGGGAAATAGGGCAGGGACACACAGGGGTGGGATTCTACCAGTTCGCACCTATTTGCTAGAACCGGTTGTTAACATTCTAAGCAATTCGGAGAACTGGTTGTTAGAAGAAATTACTGGCCTAATCCTGTAAGGAAGGCAGGAAGGAAACATTCTGGTGTTGCTTACAGAAACTGCCTCTCCATTAACCCTTTTTACATTCTTGGCAGGACTAGACTTCCTGTCTCAGGAACTTCTGTGGAGTTTCCCCCCCCCCTCCTTTGCTGGTACTTTGCTTGTATGGAATGACCATTCAAAGTTATAATGGCACTGAAAAAAGTGACTTATGACCATTTTTCACACTTATGACTGTTGCAGCATCCCCAGAGTCATGAGAGGCCAGGCGAGGAGATGCGTGCCTTGATGTGAGTGATATTGAGTTGGCCACGCTCACCAACTAAGCCACGCCCACAGAACTGGTTATTAAAAAATTTGAATCCCACCCCTGGAGACACAGCTAAGGAAACGATCAGATAAAAGGCAGCTGAGCCCACATCAAAACACTTTTTCTGCCCAGTCTACAAGGCTGATAATTTACTATTCAGGAACTTTAACTTAACACAGTTGCAGGAACAGGGGTGATTTACTCCACTGAAACAAATATGCAGTTGTAAAGATATTGCAGCAAACAATGGACTCTGGACAAGACGATGGTGCTGCTGTTTTAATCAACATGCAAGTCATTTAAAATTGCTATTACCTATCTTGCTGGTGGGTGTTTTGAAAGACACCGCATACAATATTCTTTGGAGGGCATATGCACATGCTTTTCATGGGACTCTTAGCTGTTCTCCAAGGATTAATACAAATTAAAACTTTTGATCTGGCTGTGAACCAGTTGATTTGCTTTTTTAAAAAAAAAAATTCTGCTCATACTTATTCTAAGTTTGGGGAGTTATTTCATGTCATCCCAGACGACTAACAGAAAAGAGGCAGATTCAACAATCTAATCCTGGGAATCTGAGGAGCATTATGGTTTACTGGATGCAACATGGAAGTGAATGGCACTAAGCTTCCATAAGATAAACCTTAATTGAACTTAATGCTTGGCTATGATAGTGATTGACCAGAGATGCTTAGAAATGCCTGAAACAGTTAAAAGAACATGAAAAGGGAACAGCAGAGCTTGTGAGTTTGCCGTTCAAACATTTTGTGCTGCAGCTATGTCCCCACTGCTATGGCAGTGATACTTCCCTGTCTTTATATGCTGATATATGAACAAAGAGTAGATCCACATTTCACTTTACAAAAGGTTTGCTCTCCATGTATACATTGCTATCAACAAACGACTTTTTCTCATTGGTGGCAAGGAATTCTTGCAGGTAAGCATGACAGCTGGGCATACAGACTCCATCAATAATAAGAATGAACAACTAGTCACACTTTTCTTTGACTTCCCTTCCTCTCCCATGCATTACCCTTATACACAAGGGAAAAAGAAAGGAATAGCATACGAATATCCTTATTGCCCCTCAGATAGATGAATTTCAGAGAGTAAAATAAAATAATTTCATCCTGGACTGTCATATTTGCAGGAAGAGGGCTACAAAAATGCTGTAGACAATACCTGGTTCCTAGTTGAAGATCAGAAGCAGGATCTATATTCACTACTTTTTGTATCTTCCGAACTAATATGTAGGTATTGCTTAACGTTAACATTGTACATCGTGCAAGTGGGTATTTACAATACTTTAAAAATATTATTAAATCATAATGTTGGAAGGAGACCAGACTTATACTAACTTTGCAGCATTAATGAGATGTGTTGTCCCTGGGTTCCATCCTTGTACAGGAATTTCAATCACCATGAGATAGTCTCTTATCAGTTTTTCTTTCTCTCTTTCTTCAGTGTCAGTTAAAAAATGCACTTTCAAGTCTTCAAATCTTCCTCTTTCACAACTGACCAAAGGAACTGCCCTGATTTCTACCAAAAGAAATAAGAAAAAGGGAATGAATCAAATAAGATAGAGAAGAGCACAATGCAGCAGAAGTCACTCACAAGTCACATTTGGCAATCTTCATCCAAACAACCAATGGTGTAAACAAAAGTCTAGTAATGGCATTAGTTAGGTATCGGCAAATGATGGAAAATACTGAGAATTCTCAGCCAGGTAAATACCTTGTCGAAAGTGACCGTAACAATTCAAAGTAAGTTTGGGGCTGTCAGCTTGGAAGGCAAAGGGAACAAGAAAATGGAAGCACAATATAGATTGGCAATGTTCAGATGCGTACCTGGCCCACTATCCTTCAGAACAACCAAAGGAGTGAAGTGCATACTGTCGTAAGCAAGAATGATAGGATATCGGTAACAGTCGTCTGCTGACCAATGGAGAGGCAGATAAATTCCACCAACGTTTAGAGGGGAAAAGCTGGAACCTGACTGCAAACTTCTGAGCATTTTATCTATAAGAAAAAAATAAACAGGTTGAGTTAATATTAGGCTCCTCTGTTTTAATTTCTAAAGATTCATCAGTAGATAAACAACTCGGTGTGACAACAACTTAACACTAGTTGATCTGGGGAGAATGAACGCTGGAAAGTGAGTAAAGTAATATTGTAAATGGCTGGATAGGCCAGGAGTTTGGTGGAATTTTTTATGCCTAGTTTAGAACAGATATATAATAATTCTAGTGTTTTCGGTAGAAAACCATGTTGGGGTTTTTTTAACCATCAAAGTCAAAGGGGATTCCAAAAGGTGGGAAAAAGAAGCCTAAGATTGCACATTGTACCAAATTGCAACAGCACAATGAATGAATATGGGACAGAGTGAAGAATTGCTGTTGATCCCTTAATGGATGAATATTGGGAAAGAGGGAAGATTTGGGGTCAAATTATGAAATACTAATTGTCCTTCTTGGGCAATTATTATGTGGAGGGGTGATAACACATATACACCAATGTGAGTACATAAAATGGGGTCTTAGAAGTATTGCTATTATGTCCATTAATTCTTACCTGCAACAACTATGATGGGGCGCCTTAAGATGTTAGCAAGGACAAATATATGGATTTCTTCCAGAGAGGTATACTGAAGACCTGTGTGTGCAACTGATGTTTCCGCAGATGCCATTTTAATAAGATTGTCCCATTCATCATCCCAGTTCTAATGTAGAAAAACAAAATGCATCAGGAATCATCATGCAACTCTGAAGCTCTCACATACCAGAAATAAAGTTAAATGCGTTTCTTCTGCTACAATTCAATGTATTTTATAGTATGTCATATTGAAAGATTGAAGATTGATAAATGCATTATTGAGGGGAAAAATAGTTTTTTATTTATAATCAGAACTAACCAAGTGGTCAATTTTATTCTCATTCCCAATCATTCTTCTGGAAATTATTTCTAAACATGAGTCCATCATTGGTTTAATTATTTTTTAATAGCATTCCTACACACTACCTTATTTTACATTCTATGTAAGTCCCAACAGGATGAATGTGTTTATCTCTATAGCTATCCTATGTATGGTGAAGAAATGATGGTGAAGAAATGTGTCATGCATGTTCTCATCTAAGGGTACCAGCTCACAACAATCTGGGCAAGAGGTGAGCAGAGGCTTGGATCAAGGTATTTCAGTGATCAGAAAAGGGATCTAATTAGCAAAATATTTATTTAAAAAAATCTAGAACTACTCCTTTCGGAGCCCACCACAGAAATAACACCTGGCACTTCTACATTTCCAATGAACAAATGATCAGACTAGTGACTATTATAAGGATGCCAATTCAGGGCTGACTATCATTCTGCTAGGGGAGGATGGGACAGCTCAGCTCAACTACTGCTTCTAGTTACGCAAACTAGAGATAAAGGAGAGAAAATGGCTAGATATTCTTAGGAAGATTTGCATGGATAACCATCAGCCAGCTGCATAGCAAAGCTGAAAACAGGATTCGGCTGGCACAGACTCTGTGATGGAATAGGTATGACCATCTTGCATATTCCCAAGAGGCAGGAATTTAAAAAAACATAATTGATTTCATTTTTCATTTTTACTACTATATTTCTCCATAATAGGAAAAACAAACAAACACCAGTTTTGTAAGATGTGGGTGGTCCATGGAAATAACCCAAATTGGGGGAGGTTACTTAGTGTGGAAACTCCACAGTGGTGAAACTCTGTTAATGAATTGAGCAATCCAGTAAAGTTATAGGATTAAGATGTTTTAACTGGTGGATGGCTCTGCAATTTTACTTTCTTAATTGTGTCCCAACATGTGTAATTACCACAGGGAATCACAATATTAAGATTTGAAACATTCTTCCCTTACATAAACTGAATTATCTTACCCTGGTATCGTAGCAGAGTCCTGTTGCCACAAATTCCTGTGATTTAAGTGTTTCTCGCTGCCAGCGCAGTTTAAAATTGCGTGCATCACCTTCTTTAAGTACAGTAAACAATGTTTTTCTCAGAAGCAGATCGACATCTTGGACACCCCACATATACTGGGAAGCAGCGTGCATGAGACAATTTCCATCTCCTGCAGGAAAATAAAGTATTCAAATATATATTACAAAATATAAATAAAAGCATATATGTAATGACAATATTGAACAAGGGTCTGTAATGGAATGCTGTAGCATGCAGCAAACTGTAACAGATCCCTTGGTTTTTCCTTTGATGTAAACAGAATCCTGGTTGATAAGCACACATAGTGGGACAGGCAGGCAGTTATAATGCAGCTATTAATTGGAATTATCAGGCAAAAGTGTATTTAGATGCAAGCATTAGCTTTCCAAGTATTAATTTATTTTAAAATATTACATCTCCTTGTTTCATATTTCTTTATCAAGATTTAAAAATTAATTTTTGGATACTTTTTAATGCCTGCTTATTTTGCTACTGTATACCATTATGCTGTAAAAAAACCTAGGTGTCATTTTGTATTTCTTCTTATTAGAGATTAGGTAGTAAGAGGAAGGTTCATAAAACCATTTTTAAAGTACTATATTCAGTAGTAAATAAACTAATATCTCAGCTTTTTCAAGACCCTGTTCCAGTTTCTCTCCTCTTCCCTGCTTGTTCAACTTAGGACAATTCACAGAAGGCATTTTCAGTGGTGTAGTAAGCCTACTAAGCCTGATTTTTTTCAGTAACTATATAAAAGGGTTTAAATACAAGAGTAGAAAAAGCAACAAATGAAATGCTGATTTACAGGCTTCTGGCTCTGCAAAGCAGAAAAATATGGCACAGAGGTAGGACAATTATTATTACATCCTTTAAAAAAATTCCCTGTGCAAAATCTAGAGCAAAGATAAGAAGTTTTTTCCCTGTGTATGCTTGTTTTCAGTTCTTTATTGAGAACTACCAGCCCAAAATTCCCTAAGCAACATTTGGAATTCCCCAGTGTTAAGATATTTGACTAGCAATTGAGTAACAGCTATTGTACTTCTTGTTCTGATATACAGACATTTGAACTGTGAAGTACAGACTGGACTTTCCAAGTGGGTGTGGTTAGGTTATGCTGGAATGCCTATTCATTAGAGAAGCGAAATTACTAGTTAGTAGATCTTGGAATCTTTTAAAATGACATGCCTTCAGTCACTGTCTTTTAGATTAACAAATTTATGTGAGGTATTTGTAGCACCCCCATTTCTACAACTGCATTTAATATTTGTACTTCTTTTATTAAAACTAACTGTAATACAACTAGAGATGCATTTATTTTCTTGTTCTCAAAGTGAACACAGTTTCCTCTAAAATGCATATAGTCCTGCAAGAATGACAACTTATGCTTATACTGACTACGCAAAAACTGCTTTTACAAATCCTATCATTATCTCCACAGGGAAGAAAATAAATGGTCATGCCCTTATAGAATCCTTCATATGTTCGGAGTCCTCAGATATCTTCTGATTCCCCTATCACCTACATTCTCAATATTCTCCATTCCAGATACACTAAAATATGCCCAATATGTTTTGTTTCTGATGTGTAGCATAGGGTCTGGCAAAGGTCAGGAAAAAGATCTGAAAATGCCCATAGTAGCCATCCCGAGGTTAATGCTTTCCAAACGTGGACTACAAATTCAACTTCTCCAACCAAGAGGGCCAGTTTTGTCTAATAGACCGCCTGAAGGCATTAGTTGAGAAGGAGGCCTATTGGAGACTCAACTGAAAGCATAGGAGCTAAGAACAGCATGACTATAGGACAGCAGTATCCATGGAAGAGGGAGTTAGGCCAAAGCAGGTAAGATTGCAGACGTAGTGTCACACTCCAAGCTTCAGCCTCTTTATGTGCGTCAATGTTGCATACACATTCTACAGGTCAGTACCATGGCCTCCATCTTAGCTGTTTCGACACCATGCCTACACTCTACATAAACTGCAATACACAACTCCTTGAATAAAACTTTCAAGGTAGAAACCTGGAGGAATATAGATAAGTGACAGAAAAATTTCTATACTGGAGTACGGTAGCCAATATAAAGAGAGCTGAGACGAATCTGCCAGTTCTAGCACTCTACCTAAAAATGAACCGTTTAAAATTTCTTTTTCTAAATTCATCACAACACACAGTATTAACAACAAATGACCAATTCATTTATAAAACTTCACAGTCCCATGAAAGGCCCTGACTCTAAGTAAGACCGTACTGTAGAGCTGGATAAGTCAACAACAGCAACATAATTTTTTGGGGGGAAGAATGGGAATTTGGGACAAAAATGATTATAGACATTTTAGGAAATGCAAACATGAAGCTAGGTGAGCAAAATACAAATTCTCTTTTGCCGTACTTATTTGCGCATATATCTTCCAAATACTGTCTAGTTCAAACCACTTCCTATGTAATGTTTCAGCCACTTAATTAGACATCCAGCTAAAGTTTAGAGAGATTATTCTGGAAACACCGAAACTGAGAAAGATATGAGGACACCAATAAAGCTTTCTGACAAAGCATTGATCTGAAATTTGAATTACTTCACAGAAGGTATTGTCTAATATTTTTGCCCACAGATAAATTCGTTTCAATTAATCCACCTCCTTGTTAAATCTGAACAGTTCTGGGTGGCACCATGAACAATAATGGAAGAAATTATTGTAAATTAGCATTCAAATGATTTTTGTTCATATTTGGCATGACTGTGGAGAAATTCAGGGAACCTGCAGTTCTAACAAACCTATGATTTTTAGCATAACACTGGATTTCTATGAAATTAATATAACTTATTCTTAGGAGCCCATTTTATATTTTATTTTTTTAAAGAAGAGGAGGAAACAGCTCATTTATTTATTTTTAAATATGCTTTCATTTAAACAGGTCTCATTCAAGGTCCATTGTTAGAATAGTTATAGTAAATGGTATCTGTCAGCCACTACTGACTCACCTGACACCCATCCAGTGCATTGGACCAACCATATGAATAGCGACAAATTTGGAAGGAATGGAATTGAAAATACTTCACATGTTACTTTTACACTGCCAGAACAATTTCAAATTACAGTTATACAATGAACCTGACTTACCATTGGTCTTCAGTGGCATAAGTTTTTTAACTTCTCGACACCAGTTTAACTTCTTTGGGCGTTCCAGTGAGTTTTGGGTTGCTTGGTCAATTAGAGATTTTTGAAGAAGCTTCTGAAAAGGCGGGCAAAAATGGCACATCCTGAACATCTCTATGGTGTATCTGTGCATAGTTTTAAAATGCTGAATAATTCCATTGTTGCATTTGACAAGGTCTTCAGACATCAGTTCTCTTATCTTCACAGCTTTCAGCATGTTGCTCAAATATAAAGCTTGAGGAATGATCTGTGATCCAGCCATTCTGTAAGAAGAAACCTACAAGAAAACAACACTAGTTATTCATGGCTTACTTTACATCACAAAATGTGTCCGAAATGCCCTTTCTAATGCAGGCATGTAAAAAGCAGTACTGTAGGTCGCTTTTAAATAAATTGCTTTATTAATAAACACTTAGTTGCTGTGGGAAAATAAATGTGTACCTAAGGGATATCCTTAGATGATGTCAATTCTAGAGACGCTACGGTTGAATGTACCTAACGCAGCAGAACTGAAGAGCCATAATTATTCAGCTGTAAATCTTTCTGATGACAATGAATTTCCTTTTAGTTTAGAATCCCCCCCATATATTTTTTCCATTCCACATTCTCCCTCACACTGTCTGGTGACCTTGGGGAATTTTTTTTTAAGTAGCACATGGCATAGCTTGAATTGCCCATTTTTAATTATATAATTGCAGTCTGAAACTCTAGACATCATTATTAGAATGGGCAATACTGTCCACTATTTAAATAACCAGAACAACTTTAAAGAATACAGGTAGTCCTCGACTTACAACAGTTCATTTAGTGACCATTTGAAATTACAACGGCACTGAAAAAAGTTACTTAGGACCATTCTTCACACTTTTGACCCGGGCAGAATCCCCATGGTCACGTGATTTACATTTGGATGCTTGACAACTGGTTCATATTTATGAAGTTGCAGTGTCCCAGGGTCACATGATCACCTTTTGCGACCTTTTGACAAGCAAAGTCAATGTAGAAGCCAGATTCACTTAGCAGCCGTGTTACTAATTTAACAACTTCAGTGATTCACTTAACTAATGTGACAAGAAAAGTCATACAATGGGGCAAAATTCACTTAACAAATTTCTCACTTAACAACATAAATGTTGGGCTCAGTTGTGGTCCTAAGTTCAGGATTACCTGTATTTCAGGTCACTATCTTAAAGGAAAGGCTTTTTTCACAGATTATTAAAAACTGATATTTCATTGAAATGCAATGGGTTCTCACATTTGCTTTGTTCAGCAACACTAAAATTGGAAAAATCTGTCTATAAGGGGAAGTATTTACAATAGGTTTTTCTCTAAGATTTTCCTCCTTAGACTGAATTGCTATTTTAAAGTTGTAGATGAAGCTTAAAAACTCAGTGACCTATACTTCAGGTATTTAAAGATTCCCAGAATCTTTTGGTAAAAAATGTGGGGTTTTTACACGCAAAATTAGCTCTCATCTTAACAAAATAAAATCAAAAACAGACATTCTGGAAAACAGGATAAAAAAAAAAAAGACTTGAAGTGGCCATTATTTGTCCTAAAGCAAATAAGTACCAAAAGATTACTAATTCTGAATGGCATAAAAGAATAAAGGAAAATATTTTATTAGGGAAACTGTTTACAGTTGTCTTGCAAACAATATCTCTAAAGGAATTGAAAACAAAACAATTATTGGATCAACAAAAAAACTTGAGATATATAAAATGTTTTAATGACACCAGATTTTATATAGAAAGCACTGCAGTTAAGCACTCAAGATGAAAACCAGATACATTTTCACTAGAATAGATCCAAAGAATCCAATTCTATTGATTTCATTTACCAAAATAAGCAAAATCTGGATTTCATTCTTAATTACACTAGATAATTAAGTGTTGATGGAAATAAATGCTTAATTATGCAGAATTGCACAATTTAATTGTGTTTTAATATTTATTTTATATGAATTAATAGTACAAAGTCTAAAATGGCAAAAATACATCAGTAGAATACGTAGTAGTGATTTTCCTCCTTCTACCAAGATAATTTTTCTCCAGAATTGTATGCATATTAAGACATCTAGAATTATAAGAATTACAGTGCATAAGACAAGCATGTTTTCAATGCTAAAGTTAACAAGGGTATAGACAGTTCCCATCTGACAACTCTCACAAGTACATAATAGTGGAAGATGGTTTTGAGTCAATGGGAAAGTTGGTATGAATAACAATGATTACCTAAATAAGAAACGTATGCTTAGGCCTTTAACTGGTTCTTTCCAATATTACATAATAATAAACTATCCAATTAGTTAAGTTCAATTGTAAAGCTAATTCACATTCCTGAACTGTTATCAGCAGTTCCCTTTAATGCAATCTTTGTTATGTGATTAAGCACACTGTACTTCTTGAGTTTTCCAACCATCCTACTTATATTTAATCCCAGTAATTTCAATATGTTTTATTTATTTAGCAATATAAATGTATATACAGTTTCACGCTAACAAAGGTTTTATCTTGGAGGATACCTGTTTTTGTTTTTATCTTGACAGCAGAAATCTTACCAATTTTATATCTCCATCCCCCCACCCCATTGCCTCCATATGTCAATGGAGATTCTCAGACATCCAGGTTATGGTTGTCTCAAAGGTACTTTTTGTTTGAAAGGTATCCCTCCATCCTCCCAGACCTGAAGCTTCTTGGATGAGAAGCGATATGTCTTATTCTTCCAGAAAGGAAAGAACATAGTCCAATTGCTTTTTGAAAAAAATCACCTTTGAGACAACACCTCCATAATTTTAAATATGACATTTTATGTGAAGAAAATAAAACTACCTTATAAAAAATAATGGCTATCAAAATTTTAACACTTAGCGAAGTAAAAAAATAGAAGCATATTGCTTCTGACAATCTGGTATCCACCAAACGTGTCAGACTAAAATTCTCATCATACCTTGTCAGGATGGACAAGGATTTTGGTGGATGGAGGTGGTGGGAAATCTAGTCAAATCAGGAAAGTACCCAACTGGGAAAGGCTAAGGGATTTCAACTCCTTGACTGACCACTACAGGTAGGCTTAAAATAGAAGAGTGATATAAATATCAATCTTAATACACTATTATGAGCTATTATACTCATTAACTACTGTGCTTGTCAGCTGGAAAGCTGACAGCATGGGTTTGAGACCTGAATGCTGCACAATGGGGTGAGCTCCCATTATTTATCCCATCTCCTTCCCACCAGCAGTTTGAAAGCAAGCAAATGAAAGTAGATAAATAGGTATTACTTCGGTGAGCAGGTTCTGTGCACCTCAGTGTATAAACATGCTAGCGACATGACCACAGCAGCGTCTTCGAACAATGCTGGTTCCTTCCATTAAGAAACAGAGGTGAGCAATACCCCTTAGAGTCAGAAACAATTGACAGGGGTAACTTTTAACTTTACCTTTAACTAGCACAAGAATGGCTTCTAATATCTAGTAATGCTAACTATGCAAAAGGGAAGATTATAGTAAATTGGGTCCAACGCTGGCAGCAGCTTAATCTGGATGAAAATAAAAACTGGAATCAAATCAGAACACCTTATGAACCTCTTCATGTCCACTAAGAAATTAGTTCCAAAAAACTCAATGAATTTTATTTTAAAAGGAAGTGACTGACCATGGCATGATGTAAAAATAGGCTGATGAAACTAAATAGAAATGACTATGATTTGGTCACACTACTTGGTACTTACATATAAGCTTCTAGGTTTGTAGTACTTTTGCCACAGTTTTGTTTTTTTGAACTCCTACCAGTCAATTCTATTCCACATTTGGGAAACATTCTCAAACCTCAACCTGTTCAGATTATTGCTGGTAAAAAATTGAATGAGTAAATAAAGTGTCTTTATTAGACTGTCTCAATTGCCTTCAGTTAAAGTTCTCACTACAAATTCTTGATTCTACTGTCTATGTTATCAGTTGCCATCCCTAAGCATCTGTATGAAGAGGCTCGCCTTTTAAACAGTAAATATTTGATTATCTTTCCCTGACATATACACATATACAATTTTCCGTGAAGTTATTGAAATTTATTTCTAGGTAAAGGGTTTAGGATTGTAGTCTGTAGTAAAGTGGCACCAAAAATGTTTATAGATAAATAAGAAATTTCTCTATAACTTTCTCTCTAGCCAACTTTTAGGTTTGTTTCTAAAATGTAACTCCTGTCTCTCATATATGGGAAAGAGACTAGAAAATATGTATTGCTAAAATGGCCAGTTGTGACCACCAAACATAACCTGCTAAGATGAGGTACTCTTAGGAATTGGGATGCTAATCACACCTAGGCTATAAATATTTGAGCAAATTACATTTCTGTATCTATTTGCTCCTGTTTACTGGTTACCTGGAATTTTTGTAGTTCAGTTTTAGTAGACCTAGATAATATTTCAATCTTTGAAATTTCCAGGTAGGGGTGGCAAAGTACATATATAAAATTACTTAACTAACTATAAGGAAATTACCTATGTTCCATAGATAATAATTCTGTTATTTGATCTAACAATGATAAAGGTAACCCAGCTATTTCCTTAAAAAGCTTCCCCCCCCCCCAAATTTAATTTAGGCAAATATTACAGTCTGTACTTCAAACCCAGACATGCAACTAAAACTGTTTTACTTATGTGGATTACATTGGCCCGTATATCCATAGTTTGAAGACTTATTCTACAGTCTCAGTAGCATTACAGTTATTAGGCAGAATGCATAAGCAACCTTAAGCAGTTAAAATGGCATTAGACAATTTTTAATATTTATTATTGTATTACTCTTATTCAGGGCAAAAAAATATATTTATTTGCGTCAATGTAACTTGACCAACTTTGCATAAAATGAGTATTATATTGGCTGCTTGTCTCTGGCAGCAAATTATCCTAAATAAATAATTATACAAAGAGTTAACAATCACTGGTAAGGAATCTGAATTTCAGCTAAAATTTGCAGATGCCTTACCATAAAACATTTTAAAAGGTTTTATGGAATAACTAACAGAATTCCTTCACTTCAATGTGGCTTTCTTTCCTATAAGTAGGATTATATGTTACTCTTTTATTTTTCTGCAACAGCGGCACATTTATCCATTTTTGTAATATAATATTGTATAATATAGTATAATAATAATAGTTATATACTATTATATTATTAATTATAATAGTATAATTATCATTAAAATATACCTGCATATTGTATTACACTTTATAATATCCACATATTATATGCATTCTTTAAAAAATGCATTGTATTAAAAAATAGAGAATATTTGTTTCATAACCACTTGTAGGAGCTGTCATACTCTTATGTAACTTTATGGAACAAACAAGTATAACTTGTATATTTATAGTTCTTGCTGCAAAGGTTTATTTGTACCAGAGTTCAACCCCAAGTTATCTTCAGTGCTAAATCCAACTTCTATTATCTATAAACTAACGAAAGTTTGTCTCAGCCTATATGTTTTGCTTTGCCTAGGCCAAGGAGTAATCCACTTTGAATATGACATTGCTTTATGGTGTGATAACACTTACAGATAGTTTTAAGTGGGGAGGAGAGTACATCAACTATATTTATCTTTTCTATAATATAAATACATCTGAGTTTCCCCGCTTAAACACCTGTCTTCAGCAAGCCTGGTCTAGCCTTGTTTATAGTTCAGTTCCTCAACTGTGTAATTATTACATTAGGCTGAATTTTTATTTCTTGGAAGAAAATTGCCTTGAATTCACTGGGAATTGTTTTGAGTAGTATATTTATTTATTTGGAATATGTACTAGTCGCCCACCCAACAAGGCAACTCTGCACAGTTCATACTATTCAGAAACCTCCAAGAGCTGAATGAAATAAGGCCGAAGGATCACAACACACCCTGCAATTCTGATGTACAGAAAATATAAGGAAACCCTTTGATCTTCTTCATAGTTTTTTCAAAATCCGAACACTTCTGCCTTAAATAATAAAGCTTGGAGGGAAACCGCTCCTTCGTTTCTACTTAGCCCCATAATGCTAAATTTCATTGTTTCCAAAGCGGTCCCTTCTCTCCAGCCCGAATTGGTAGAAAAGCAGCTAGGAGGGGTGCATCTCCCCACACCAGACCAGCACCCATTTATGCACTATTGTGTAGCCCGCCCGCCCAGCCCGGAGCCATCCTTCCCTCCTCTTCCTCCCCGACCATCTGCGCGAAGCAGCTCCGCAGAATCGGAACCGGACACAGAACTTACCTGGATCGCTCGGAAGAAAGACCCTGCAATACTAATCCTCCTCAATATAAACCAGTCAGGCGTTGGGCGATGCAATTTGGGGACCCATGAATCCCAATCCCGTCCTCCTTCAAGCGCTTTAGGATTAAGGGCTTCCCTGGCTCAACCAACTCGGCTCCTCCTCTTGCTCTGCCAACACGTTTGCCAAGAGTTGCGAAGAGATTCTGTGTCGATCGGATCCGGACTACCTGTTTTTTCTTCCGTTAGTAAGGAGGAAAATGCCAAGTCTCCCCTCCCCTCCCCCCCTCGAAGTTCCATAGTGGGGATTTCCACATCGGCCGCCAAGGGATTTTCCGAGGTGACACCCCTGCCTGGGCAGGAACAACAGCTGCTTGAAAGAGCCGAAGAAGCGGCTGGGCGCGATGCGGAGCGGGAGCCTCCAGGGGGCGCTGGAGACGCGAAAGACGCGGCTCATGAGCAGGCCGGCACGTGATCGACTCGGATTGTCGTCATCCAGCCGGTCTGACCTGGATAAACCTTATTCTCTCCGCCTCTTCGGCTGGGTTTCTCCCAGATGAGTCACGGAGTGCCTTTGCTCCCCTTCTCTTGTATTTGAAAGGCGTGTTTAATTGATTTGTAAGGTGGGGGGGAGCCGTTTTCTCTCCCCCTCCCCACCTCCACCTCACTTTATGTTTTAGTGACCCGAAACAGCATTCACACGAATCATATGCCTTAGGAAAATCCCAGAAGGCGTAGGTTGAGGAGCTGAGATCTTTCCAGTAGCTTTAATGGTCTCAGAGAAGATGGGATATGTCGTTAAAAACAATAGAAATCGTCAGCTCTCCATCACTGGAAGTTTTTAAGAAGAGACTAGACAGCCACTTATCTGAAATAATAAAGGTTCTCCTTGAGCAGGGGGCTGGACTAGAAGACCTCCAAGTTCCCTTCAAGCTTCTATTCTATTCTATTCTATTCTATTCCATTCCATTCTCATTGTTTACTATGTTTACTTCACTGGAACATGAAAAGGGAGACGACAGAGGGGGAGATACCACTGTGGTCCATGATTCAAAAGCTTGCTGTGTAAATCCATTATTAAAGTGCAAAAAAGCAGTGGTTGCTTTTAAGCTATATGCTTTCAATTAAAGTTTTTGTAAGTTTATGTCTTACTAGCTGGATATCCGTACTTCGCGACAACACTATGATTGGGCTACGCAGGAGAAATCTGGTTCACAGTCCGTTGGCTCAGTGGTGGTCAGTGATTGAAACTCATAAGGGAATATCGCTCCCACCGCTTAGAGTCCAGAAACAGTTCCATAGGTGGAAAGTGTAGACATTTTGGTGAGGTACCGACTTTTAGTTCTGTAAGGAGCCCAAGACTGCTCCTGAGCTCTCCAGTACCCTCTGGTGTTCTGCTGTGGAGAAGATAGCTATTACATCAATATACCTCAGTGAAACACAAAGACCAAAGGGCCCCTCAAGAAGACCGTGTCTGCTGCTGACTTTTACAGTTACAGGGTAATGGATCGTGATGGTGAAGAATGCTACTGACTGCTATTCCACAAACTTGTGAGGCAACTGGCAGTTGGAACAGAGTTCTTTTCAGGTGGGGAGGGGGAATAGATCTCCTTAGCATCAGAGCATGTTAATTACTGTAAGAAATACTAATGATCTGATGGTCATTTCAAAAAATCTTTTCTTAGTGAGTACCTAGAAACCAAGAGGAACATACATGCCAAATTTAAAGTTTGTATATGTGTATGTGTAATACATACATATATGTGTGTGTGTGTGTGTATTTTCTCAAGTTTTCGCGGGTACTTACATGTATGGCATTCAGCTTTGTTCAGGTATTTTCCCACGTCATTGTAGTTGTGTTTTTAAAGTTGTAGCAACGTTTCGGCAGAATCTCATCTGCCATCATCAGGCTTCTGTATAGTGTTCATCTGTGAGTCAGACTTTTCTGCCCTACATAAGAGGTACTACAGACAAAATTAGTAAGATACTACACAGACATCACATCAAGACTGCCTTCAAAACAGACAGAAACATAGCAGCCATCCTTAGAAACCGAAAGATAAAATTGACCTGGAAAACCAAGGCATATACGAAGTCCCCTGTGCATCATGCCCGGCCACATACATTGGACAGACCAATAGAAGAATAAGTACCTGCCTGGATGAACACAAAAATGCAGTCAAAAAGCTGGAACACACTTCCTCACTAGTCCAACACATGGAAGCCACAGGTCATAGCATCAACTTCAATGGCACCAAAATCCTAGCCACCATAGAAAACCCCAGCCACAGAATCATCAGAGAAGCCATAGAGATTGAAAAAAGACCAGAAAGCATGAATAGAAGAGATGATACCACCAGACTGTCAATCATTTGGAAGCCTGCACTCACAAACAAAAAAATCTCCACACCACAAGCCAGGCAAACACCTGGGCACAAACAGATCCCCCCTGATACCTCCAGCTCAAACACACCCCAGCCAGGCACCCAGATGAAACCTAGCTTCCTAACTAATGATACCCGTCCATTTACCCGGAGCCAAGCTGCACTAAAGGCCTCCAATAAAGTAACACAATGTTGCCAGCCAATCAAGATACAAAAGGAGCCAAAAAACAGGCAAAAGATATTAGAAACACCAATCAAGCAGAACACAGCAAACTCCAAGACCAATAAACACAGACCAAGACTCCTAACCAATCAGGATGAAGAAAAAAACCATTCTGGCACAGCAATAGCAAATCTGAAACCACTGTAAAAGTCTGACTCACAGATGAACACTATACAGAAGCCTGATGATGGCAGATGAGATTCTGCCGAAATGTTGCTACAACTTTTAAAGCACAACTATAACGATGTGGGAAAATACCCGAACAAAGCTGAATACCATATATATATATATGTAGGTCTCAGTGTGTTTGGGTCTTTTCCCGTGTAAGATTAAGAATATCTTGGCGACGTTTCGGCGAGGTTCCACTCGCCATCCTCAGGCTGGTGCTTTCAGTTTCATGCCAGTGCAAGCAGTGTGTGATTGGAGCTGCCGTCTCTCTATAAATACTTGTGGTGGGGGCTGGTGTGCTGGGCTGGTTGGCTGCGCTGCTACCTCTTGATTGGTTGATGGAGTTGAAGTTGGTATAATGGGCTGTGTGATGGCCTTGTGAGTTTTGTTGTGGAGATATCCTGGATCTTGTGCTGTATATATATCTTGGTATCCTCTGAGGTTAATTATTTGCTTGCAGATATTTTATTACTCAGCTTCATAGCATCCTGCATACATATCAAAAAGCACCAAAGACTCCACAGTTCAGTCCTGAATTATATATATTTACTTCAATTAGAAATGCAAGTACTTAATTTTCCAGTTAAAGTCGAAGAGACAATGCTACTCTGTTTTTGAACTTTAGTGTGGGGCGAACAGATGCTACTTAGCTTCCCACTGATTATCCTCAGTAATGACTAAAGATGATCTATCAGAGGCATAATCACACATGATCTGAAAGACGTCAAGGGATGGACTAGGTGACCTGTTACTAAAAATGCTACAAGTCAGGAAATGCTGAGAATATAAGTAAGGATTTCTGCTTATGTTCAAAATATGATTGAAAAAAATGTGACCTCTACTTAGTCATGGAGTATTGATTTGATGGTAAAAGCAACACCCTTGGCATCTTGTATTCTGCATAACTATTAAACTTCCTTAAACTCAGACAGCTTCTTGGCAATAAAATATTTTACTGTATTCTGAGACGAATAGGCTGCAGACTTACATTAAATGAATAGTCTACCTATTGTGAATTTACTGGATAAAAATATATTCAACAGGGGCATTATTTTTTACCTTGTGGTATCATATGTTAAATTCAGAAGGGGAAAAAATATAAACACTGTTCCCAAAGCAAATATTTTTGGAAGACCTGTTAAATGAATGTCCAGTTTCTGACCATCAACATTAAACAGTGATAACACTTTCAAAATACTCTGTTACACACCTCTGTCTATTTTTGATGATAGAAAATAAAGGAACAAAGATAATCAAACTGCCAATAGGGAAATGATTTAAGAACCTTCTACTCACTTCCATCTCCTTGCTTCCCCAAACTTTCAAAAGCAATTAGTAGCCAGCCTATCTTCACTTCTTCCTTCCCTTTTCACTTTTATTTGGAGGTTTGAAAGCACCATGATCTAATAAGTGCTCCAGTCCATTAATAGGAGAGAATAAAAATGTAATTCAATGGTTTATCTGTCAGCTTTGTGAGGTAGTTCAGACAAGAAATTCACCCAGGAGTGCTAGTTATATTTTTATTGTAAAGTTACAGTTGAATATTACAAGCGTAAAAGTATCCCTTCCATCCTCATTGTATTTTTTCCAAAACTAGGAAAGCTTCATTCTCAGGCACTTTTGCCACTCTCCTCCTTTGAACTTAGATTTTGTTACCTTTGTCTAGGCTGCCAGTCTTCCTCCTGTCTTCCAAGGCCATTCCCACATACTGTTATATTATCTGACTGGAGTAGGAAAAATGCTCACCTCTACATTACACAGAAAGGATGGAATAAATTGGAATTTTCCTCTCCTTCCTATTTGTAGTAAACAAGTTACATTGCTATATTTCTCAGACTTTGGTTAAGAATCTGAATAATTAATATAAAGATGTTAAGCCATCAACACTTCATTGTACAGTATAAAATCCATTGTAAACCATGGCGGCAGATCAACAGCATGTTGGCATCTTTTACAACTGGTGCTTTTTTTCTCAATTGCTTCAGCTATAATGCAGTGGCTAGGTTGGAAGAGAAGGGAAGATGAATATTCAAGGACTAGGAACTAAACTATAGGGGTGAGGATGAAAAATTGATTCAAGAGACAGAATGAGGCAAGACTTCTTGGGCACCAGAAAAAGAAAACCATCCACAACTTCCATCAAGACTTATAGCATTGTTTAAAAGAAATAAGTTTTTATTTTCTTTCAGATAAACCAATACAGATCCAGGAAAAGGCTACCTCAGCTCTCCATGTCAATGGATATGGTAAAAATGTACAAGTCTAAAGGTGGCTTTAAGCACTGCAAAGCCCTCTTGGGGAGGTGTCCATACTAAGCAGTAAAAGATAATCGTACCAAGCCACACTAACTTACACTAACACCAAATGTCTAGCAATGCCTAAAACAAGATAATCATAATTATTGCAAATTTGTGGATGCAAATTTAAACATATTTTAATTTTTTAGTACAATGACAATTAAAATAGAAAGTTCAACTTTTAAAGAGGCTTCTGACATTAAATAGATCAACCTATAGTTTTAGGTCATTTTATTAGGCAACATAGAAAAATTGCAAAATAATGACTTTCAATGCTTTTGGAAAAAGGTGGGG